TCTAACAGATGGGGTCCTGAACACTTTTCACTGGTCATTTCATACGCTCTTTATACCAATCCTGTGTTGGGAATAGTTATCCCCCCTTTACAGATGAGGGAAAGGGGGTCCAGAGAGGTTCAGTAGCCTTTCTAAGCTCTGTGAGCAGTCCCCAAATATAATCTCAGGTCTGCCTGAATTTTTTTTTTCTTGAGGAAGATTAGCCCTGAGCTAACATCTGTGCCAGTCTCCCTCTATTTTTTATATGTGGGTCACTGCCACAGTGCAGCTGATGAGTGGTGTAGGTCCATGCTCGGGATCCAAACCCACAAACCTGGGCTGCCAAAGTGGAATGTGCCGAACTTAATCACTGTGCCACGGGGCCAGGCCCAGGTCTGCCTGAATTTAACATCCATGATTTCCCACACTACTTCCATCCACTGTCTTGATAAAACAAGTTTCATGTCCATAAGGAGTTTAAATCTAGCAGGTGAGAAAACAATCTATACAAGAGCTTGTAATATAATAAAGAATTAGTGCACGTATTCCCTTATTTCACAGCTGCCTTCTATGATAATGAGGTAATCAGGGTAAAGTCACAACCACTAGGCTAAAATGTTAATTCCTTATTTAGTTTATGCATCCATTATCAACTGTCTGCATCTATTTGCTGGAATTAGTCTTCCCCCTCTGCTACAATCAGAACTGGCTATCAAGGAATGTATATGACTTTGAGTGGGCTGAAAATTCCACATTTTTGCATTTTAGGGGCGGGATAGAAGATCAGGTTAATATTTCACATAACAGACTTCCAACTTAGGCAATAGTTAACACTTAGAATTCACCAAAGAAGTATAAGCTGTACTTTTGAATTTTTCTACAGTTCTTTGCTGCCCTTGTTTCTTTAGCAAGTCTCTTGGATTCTGATAATGATAACTCTCCCCTTAGAGTTAGAGATTTAAGGTGAATGCTTATAGGCTCAAAAACCCTTACAGCCCATACACAGTCAAAGCTAAATGTCTTAAATTAATGTACAGGCAGAGTACCAACAGTATACAATTAAAGTGCCTTCTATATCACGGGGATAGCAAACTAGAAACAAATCATTAATGGTCTCCTTGTTATCTATTCAGAAGTTTACCTGCCAGGTCAGCTTCTAAATGAGTCCTTTCAAGAGGAGTCAATTTTATTTTGTAGGAAGGAGAGATATGAAATAAAGCCAGAAGGTTAATATGAGTTTAAGAGGAGCGTAGGGTTATCCTGCCAATTAAAGACTCTCCAGGAGGTTAATTACCCACACCCCGCACTTACAACTCACACAATATATCAGCAGTTAACAAAATTTGTGTACAGTAGAGAACTCTATTCTATACTCTGACTGATATTATTTTAGTCATTTTTTTGCAGGGCTGAGTTAAAGCAATATTCTTTCCATGATCCATTCAGGAAAAAAAGAAATGAATGTCATTCACACTGTCACAGCAATGTTATGTAGAAAGAGACAATGTGGCCAAGAATTGTACAATTTAGAGAGAGAGAACAAGAGAGTGTGTGTATGAGAGAGAGAAAAAAAGAGGGAGATGCAGAGTGACAGAGAGAGGGAGATTGAGATTCAACTGGTTTTTCAACTCTTGAGCAAGAGAGTTTATTAAAGGAAAGAGCACATATGATGCGGATCCTGGGAGGTGGACAGAGCAATGGTGTATGCTCGAGGGCAAGTCGGTATGGCTCAGACGACCCACCGTTTTTAAAATTTCCACTTTGAAAACTTCAGAAAAGCCAGTTTGCTGCTTGTTAGCCAGAATCATGATGGGATTTGTACTAGACAACAATTCCCTATGACCCAGTGCCCTCACCCTGTTGAAATAAGTTTCTAGGCCCAAGATGGAACCACTCCTGTTTGGGGGCCACGTCAGCAAACTGAAACTTAGATAACTCGTTGTCCCTGTAAATGTTCTTCTTGACCAGAAACGCAGTCTTCCCAGTCGGCCAAATGCCAAGCCAATTCTGGGCTCTGCTTATTTTCTTGTTCCTTCTCACCCCAAACAAAGTTGACTATGTGGCCCCGGCCAATCAGATATTTTCTGTTTTTCTCTTCCTTGTTCTTTATTCTTTATCCTATGAAAGCCTCCTGCCTTCCACCCCATTTTGCACTTCCGCAAATGGAGACAGTCCTCTTCATGAAGTGTTAAATAAAGTTTATTTCTATCACCTAAATTGTCTTCTTTAATGTTTTTTTTTTTTTTTTTTGTGAGGAAGATTGGCCTTGAGCTAACATCTATTGGCAATCTTCCTCTTTTTGCCTGAGGAAGATTGTCACTGAGCTAACATCTGTGCCCATCTTCCTTTATTTTGTAAGTGGGACACTGCCACAGCATGGCTTGATGAGCGGTGTGTAGGTCCATGCCCAGGATCCAAACCCACAAACCCCAGGCTGCCACTGAAGTGAAGCATGTGAACTTAACCACTATGCCACTGGGCTGGCCCCTTCTCTAATCATTTTTTAACAACTTTCATCCAAACCACCATCCTCTCTCACCTGCATCCCTCCAAAAGCCCCCCCATAGTCTCCTTGCTACTTATGCCCTGCCCTAGCCCATCTCTGCCCAGCAGAGCATCCAGCTGTGGTAATGATTGGCAATCATACCATAGCTTTCCATTGCACTCACGAAAAAATTCAGAATCCTTACTACAGCCCTGTTTGCTTTCTCCAACTTGATTTCCTACCACCTCTACCCCCCTCCATCTTTATACCCTTTATCACACCGGCCTTGGTGATCACACTGGCCTGGAGCAGAACCTTGGCTTCACGTGACCAAATGTCACCTACTCAAAGGGGCCCTCCCAACCAGTCTACTGAATGCTGCCTACCACCCCCTCACTTTCAGGCATTATCAAGAAACCTTCTTTGAGTGGCCTCAGAGAGCTCGCATCTGAGGTTATAGCATTTATTCGTTCATCATGTGCCTCCCCATCCTTCCTCTTCACTCTGTATGCCCAGCACGTAGGGCAGTCCCTGGGACCCAGCTGAGGCCAGTGGTTGCAGCCTGCGGCTCCTTCTGCACGTCAGTTGCCTGGAGTTACTATCCATCTTAGAGTATGGAGATAAAGTCGAATCTTTAGGAGGGTTCGGGTATTATGAGACCATGTAATAATAATTAAAACCACAAGGATTCTAATTACGCTTCACTGAGCACCTACTTAGCACCAGATAATGGACTGAATGTTTTACTCATATTTCATATTTTAATCTCCCAACCACCCTATGAGGTTGTTAACTGCTATGCTCCACTACTTCCCTAGTCAGATTATACCAGGTACTAAGAAATGATGTGCCAGATCCATCCATGTTAGCCTAAAGAACCAAAATATTTGGTAGGTATTTATGTAAGTCCGTAAAGGATGTGAAACCGTTAAGGATTCTTTTGGGAAGTGAATTTAAATGTCTGGAGAATACTCTTGTTGCTTTTCTTTACAGTCACACTGCACCACACATCCCCTAAGGACACTACCTTTTCAGGGACAAGGAGTAAGTGATCTCAGGCAGATTCCCCAGCTAATGAGACACCCTCCCTTTTCCTTGCTGGGAGGTAATGGGTTCAACCATCTGAGAACACAGCCTCTCCAGGAGTCCTGGACCCTCTGCTGCAAAGGAAAGGAGCACATAAATTTAAAATGAGGCGGTATGATTCCGGCAAACGTACTCTAATCCTGGACTAGGTATGTACTGCAGTCCGTTAGTATGATTTTGAAAAAAGAATTATAATAATTATTTTTTGGCAGCCTGGAGTCTTTCATCTTTATGAGATGATAGTAATGTTTTAAAAGGATTATCAAAGTGCTACACAATAAAAATAATAATAATCCTTTATTATGTGTAACACTTTAAAGTTTTAAAAATACTTTGATATAAAATATAAGGCTTGATCCTAACAGTGATCCTTTGAGGTAAATGGAGTAGTAATTATTTGGCACATTTCACAGTAGAGGAAACTGAGGTCCAGGGCAATTAAACAGTTTCTAAGGATTTAAGCTAATCATGGCAGGGGAACTCCAGGACCCAGGTGCTCTGATTCTTTAAATAAATCATTACTCGTGAACTGATTTAGAAAAGAACACCAGAAGAGATTTGAGGGATGTACCTGTGTGTGTGTACGTGTGTGTGTGTGTCTGTCTGTCTGTCTGTCCGTGTCAGGAGGACCTGTGGATTGCAGTAAGTGGTTCTCAGGAACTAACAGATCATTTTAGAAGCACGGACGCATTATAAAACCTTAATAAAGCCCTAACTTCCCAGCATTGTCATCCGTTCCATATCAGACTGTCACACTGAAACACAATGTCATACATACTACCCAGACTTCAGGCTTCCCAATAAAGATACTCGATATATATAGAAGGAATGTTCCACAGAGCTCTTTCATACCTATTTTCTCATCCCTTGCCTTATGGTGTTTTTTGTTTTCCTCCAGAAATAATGCTCTTATGGTTCATACTGCTGCTGTTTCTGTCTTAATGAATTATAGGAGTACATTTTATGGTTTCAGAAACAGTCATCTCGGGCAGTGAATTATCTCGCAGCCTTCTCTTCCTCAAGCCTCTCCCAAGAAAAGAAATGAGGAGCAAAGCAACACATTTCTTCACAAATGATATACTTCACTTTAACTGCAGCACTTCTGCTCTTTCCTTTTACATCTGAGGCTGTAGTGGCTCATAGGGCTCTACTCCTGAACTTTCTTTTCCAATTATTGACAAAAGGGCCTGAAGTCAAAGCAGAGATGTTGATACATCTGCTTGTTTTCAGCAAAAAGCAAAGGCTGCTCTGCCACCCGCCCTCAGCACACAGGAGTGCGTTCAGAGGAATGCACCAGAAATCTCCAAATTCAGAACCAATCAGCCCAAGAGAAATATCTTCATTTAGGAACCCACTGTTCAAATGTATTAAAGTTCTAGTGGATGTTGAAGGTTAAAGAAGTTTAGTGAAAGTCAATTTTAATGAATGCCAGTTCCCTCTATGAGCTTACCTCCAGAAAATGTTCTGCCTGCTGTTCTCGATCCAATTTCCTTGAAGTTGTTGTAATCAGACCTGTGTAGAAATGAGAATATTTGACTTTTAAATATCTGGGGCAAGTAGCTTCCTGAGCATGGGAAATAAGTCCAGTTAAAGGAAAAGCAAAAACGATGGGGAACAGTAACTCTCCAATCCCCAGTGACAATCAGATGGTCTTAGAATTATTCTTAAAACAAAATAAAATTTACAAAGAAAACCTGAAAAATTTGTTTCTGTTCTCCTTGCCACAGTTGAGGTATTGTAATCACTTTGGGGATGTAAAACTCACTAAAGAACTATCGTTTTTCTGATAATGAGGAATTTCAATGACTCATTTGCATATGACTGAAATTCTACAGTAGGAACCTCATTAAAGATTTTAGAGTTCTTGAACAATTAATAGGTTGTTGATGCTGATTAGATTCAGGGTCTGAAACAGCACTTTCTTATTTAACTTTCTTATGCTTATATAATTTTTTGTTATACTTGACAAAGAAGATTATTTCTGTAATAACTACTTGTGCACATAATTATTTCAAATTTAATAACATATATCGAAGATCTCAAACTATAATTTTATGTGTTTAAATCTTTACACAAAATTGGTTTCACATGGGAAATATCTCTCTTTCCTTCAAATGGTGTTTCTCATAAATGAATCACCTCTTTGAGTATGAAGACAAAGAAAAACAAATGAGAAGACAAAACCTTCAAGGCTGCCCAGTTTATTGCACCAATTTGTCTTTTGCAGGTTTTATTATTATTATTGTCAATTGTCAATTAGGAGGTCAAATTTACATTCCATTTCTTGATTCTACAACGTCCCTGAAGACAAGAGACTATGGATTGGGCTGTTTTCACGGCATATGCCAGTTGACAGGAAAGAACAGAGAAAATCACATGAAGAGCTCACTCCTAACACTTGTGAGGTACTAGAAATCTGGAAAGGTATTTTACCAAGGTCTGCTGAGGAGCTCAGGACCTCTAGCTTTTGTTTTACACAGAAGTGGTGACTGGGAGTACACAGATTTTAGAGAAAGTCAAGAAGAGTCCACAGGAGGTTAAATGGGCTTCAAAGTAAAATCTTATGGGAGTAGAATGGCTCTTTACAAGCTGGCCCCACTCAACCTCCACTCTCATCTGTCTACACTTCCCATGGGAGGGAAACCTATATTCCCGTTGCACAAATGACCTGCTTTTCCATAAATTCTTTCTGGAATGTGTCTCACCCCACTGCTTCATCCACAGATCTTTCAAATTCAGCTCAGGTGTCAGCTCAGGTGTTAGAGAGATGACCTCTCTACCAGGGTTAGGTGCCCATCTGATATGTCCCAGCACAACCAGTATACGCCACCACCATTGTTCTTTGCCCTATACTACAATCCTTTGCTCACGTGTCTGTAGTTTCCCATTAGACAGGTTGACAGAGTTACCTCATGGGAAGGGCTTACGTTTCGATTCTGAAGCCCTGGTGCCCACCTAGCCCCTGGCCTAAAACAAAGAATAGGAACTTCATTAATGCTCAGTTGATGAAAATTGCTGTAGAAGAGATAGATTATTTATATTCTAATCTTCAGTGTTACTACAGACTTAGAATGTGTTTGTTTAGGAGGGTATTGTTTTGGTGTAGGGAGAGTATTTGTGGTTGGGCAGGGGGTGTGTGTCTTTCATATTCATTTGAAACCGTTTACTGAGTTCCTCTATGTGAATGGGGCAGTGCCAGGCATTCTCAGGAAGCAAAGATGAGCTATTGTCAGAGACTGTGGAGAGAAGACTGCTAGCAGGAGTTTCAAGGGAGAGAATCAGTAATTTCCCTTCCCTAGCTGCCCATCAGAACCTCCCAGGAAACTCACGAAACATAGATTCTGTGCCCAACTTCATCCCTCATTTACTGTATCTCCTGGGAGGATGCCTTGAGATGATCCTCTGATTCTAAGAGAAGGCTCTATGCAATTCCACTATCCTTTGAATCCTTCTTGAATCTCACTATGACTTTTTATTGACGTTAATTTTTCTGCCCAGCCATATCCAAGAATGAAATACACTGAGTTGCATCTGGATCAGACAATCAGGTTCAGTGTGTGGGTGGGGGTGAGCGAGGGGGAGATGGAGATGATGTGTGAGTGCACTGGTGGGCGGGGTGATAAAGGGGAGCCCAGCTCTCCGAGTCATATTGACAATGGGTCAGTGTGGTCACATCAGTGGGTGTCTAACACACAAATCTGACGCCTTCATTTTCGGGCCATTCTATCTGACAAGGTCACATGTCACGGAGGCTCTTTCCAAGTGAGAAGTAACTGTCTTCTCAAAAGAGGGCAGGAGGCTTTCGCAAACCTCACCACCTCCTCAGGGGGCATCCTCTGTTAAAGGTCACAATGGGAACGAGAACTACTTGTTATAGCGAGGCTATAAATGGGGGAAAGAGCTGTCGGCCTCCACTCTGCTGCACTCCTGCTGCTCTCTGAGACACAAAAGGCCAGGAGCCCTTTGCCCTCTGTTCCCCTGCAGACTCCCATGTCCTTTCAGGTCCTCCTTACCCGGGTCATGCAGCCACGGCCCACAGGGAAGAGGTCAGCTTCCTCTCCTGATTACTCTTAGGGTACATCTTTAGGAAAGTCACTTATTTTCACAATGCACATGTGTAACTGGGAGAGCAGTGTGGCTCCCCTTCCATACACATAACGTTCACCAGGGTTTTTTGCATATTTATCAGCCAACAGGGAGAGAGAGAGGTTTCCTGAAAAGTCTGAAACAACATATACAACAGTGAACCTGGAGCTGTGAGACAGCCACGCAGTTTCTGTTCCTGGAGGAAAGGCAGGAAAAAACCTCTGCAGGTTTCAGTTCTCTGGGTTTCTATCACCTTTATTTTCACAGATATAAGGTAAAAGGCAAGGAAAAAAAATCCAAGTCAAAAGTGAAAATCAGTAGGAAATCAGATGAGGTGCTGGTTGGGGATAGGGAGTGACTGCTAGTTGGTACAAGGTTTCTTTTGGGGGTGATGAAAACGCCCTAAAATTACAGATTATGGTGATGGCTGCACAATTCCATAAGTATTCTGAAAACCATTGAATTGTATACTTTAAATGGGTGAATGTTATTGTATGTAAATCACATATCAGTAAAGCTGCTAAAAATCAGTAGGAAATCATAAACTCTGCCTTTTAGATTTTAACAAGTTTTCCATGTTTGGAGAAGCCAGACATTTAAAAATACAGGAATGAATGAATGAATGAGTTAGTTTAGGAATCAGACATGAAGAGGAGTTGGAATGAATAGAGTGATCAGGTTTGTCCACGGGGAATCTGGAACACAATAATGAACGGAACATTTTGGGTTAAAGCCAGAACTGGTTGTTATTTGCACTGAAAAATAAATCTTGTTATCAAGCCAGGGCCGGCTAAACCAAGAAGCGGCAAAAGCTTTCTTCCTTCTAAGGTACATATTAGGATGAACCATAGTGCTTCAGCAGCACAGTCAGAAAGGAATGCGGTGAGCATCCCTCACAGTCCAGAGGAATTAGTCAAAATTGCCAATGCTGCATCTTCATTTCTAACAACCTTGTTGTAGCTGAACGAGGTGGGGCCTTAGATAAGGAAGAGAATAAAATAGAGCAACCTCCCTCTTCAGCTGCTCTGATTCATCACTATGGAAGGCAACACCATTGTGCAATCTCTGCAGGAGAGAGGCGTGTACATCACACATGTAACTGTAGACCCATTGGGCCCAGTAAATTGGGGACGGACACGATGAAATTGAATTTCAAAGATAAGTCATAGGCAAGATTTTGAATGTGGTTTGGAGATATAAACAAACACATCATTTGATATAATTACATATGCAAACCTCCAATTTAGGAGGGGAATTACGCCAGTCCTAAGGGAATGATACTCAGTAAAGAGGGGGGAGAGCATATGGCTGGAACCATGCAATTACTTTAAAAATGGCTGCTTTTGATTTTTTATTGTGGAGACAGGGGAATCTAACGACCTCTCTGAGAAACAGCCTGAGCACGAAAATGTGATTACCCGTTCGAAAGAGAACTCAAAATGTTCTAAGTAGTTATGGTTGGAGAGAGTGATACTTGTAAGGATGACATCCTTTCCCTGCTCTTTCTCCCTGTGGGTGTCCCGGGTCACAGCTGTGTAATCTACTGCCATGACATTCACATTTTCTTTAAGTGCTACTTGAAGCAGTGTAGGTCTTAGCTGTTTCAGCATAATTTTCCTGGACTGTCGGAAGCTGAGTTTCGTATTAAAACCACAACTAGAATCATCAGCCCTGTGAGCTACAATTACTCTCTTTTTCATATCTCATTTCCTTTGTTTACCATTTCTCCATGCTTACCCCCAGCTGTCTGGTAAACCCCTCATCATCCTTCCAGATAGTTCAAATGTCACCTTCTCTGCGAAGTCTTCTCTGACCTTTCTTCCCCTAGCATGTTGCACATAACTCATCTATTGTCTGGATCCCCCTCGAGACCACAGTTTCAGGAAGGCAGAGACTTTTGGTAGCTTACTAGTTGAGCTCAGGAACCTAGGTCAATGCCTGTCACATCTGTTGAATACATAAATGCTACTATTACAGCACCCAATGCTAGGCTCTACCTATTTGTTAAAGAGTCAGACTTGCCTAATAGGATATAAGCAAAAGGTAGTGAATAGATCTCATTCATCTTGCGCTCCTGGCATTTAACACAGAACCTGGTATATTGTAGGTACCCAGCAAAACTTAGTTGAATGAAGGTGACACGGATGCAGTCTTCCACAAACCTCAGTATTGTTTTATACAGAGTGGCCATAACGGTCCCAAACCACGGGAGTTAAAGTTATCTGAATGCTCTCTTTAATCCTTCGAATAATTTTAATGTTTTCTCAAATTTGGACACCTTATTCCATGCTGATAGTTAGCGGTCATTATAACAATTCCTGATTTTTTTGAAAATTTTTTGTTTATTGCAGTAACATTGGTTTATAACATTGTATAAATTTCAGGTGTACATCATTATACTTCTATTTCTCCATAGATTACGTCATGTTCACCAGCCAAACACTAATTACAACCCATCACCACACACATATGCTGAATTATCCCTTTCGCCCTCCTCCTTCCCCCCTTCCCCTCTGGTAACCACCAATCCAATCTCTGTCTCTATGTGTTTGTTTATTGTTGTTATTATCTACTACTTAATGAAGGAAATCATACGGT